AGGGGGAGAGAAGCAGGGGTTGCGAATCCGTACACTGATGTGCTTACCCGTGGTGCTAATGACGCGGTACGGTACATGTGTGTGTATGTATCTCTGTATGCGTGTACGACATGGATCGGATGCGGATTCACTGAGAGCACTGAATACATATGCCTTCGTGCCTCTCTGTCTGTCTGTCTGTCCATATGATTGAATCCATAGGTGGGGGTTGGCGGGTTTGCGGGTTTGGGGTCCTTAGTCGCTAGATGCGCGCATGTGTGGGTGTATGCATGTATGTATGTATGTCTCTATTTCTTTTCGTCTATCTTAACAAAACTGAGACGCGAGGGCGGTTTGTGTGTGTATGTGTGTGCTTGGCTACCCGGGGGGTTGAGGGGGGGGGAAAGCCCCTCTTTCACCCCCCCCGGGTGAAGGCCGTCAACTCCTTCCGTTGTTATAACTGCGTATAATAACGAGTTTACTGGTTGGATGTTAACTGGTATAACTACAATAATCGGTTATACGCGGAGAGGCAGTGTGTTCGGTGGCTGCGCGGCCGGGGGGTGGGGGGTGGTTGCGCGCACGCTCTTTGGCTTACCGATGATACCAATATAGTACCAGTACCAATACCTGTGGGGCAACACGAACCCCCCCATTGAGGGGCGTGTATATGCTGTGTACAACGTTGACATAGGATTCATATCGTGCCGCTGCTGCTGCTTGCGAGAAGCGGTAAACTGCACACTAATGACGGCGTACACCGGGACCGAGGACGCTGCCGTTGTGGGGGAGGTGAGTGTGTTTGAGTGTATATATGCAGTTTGGGGGCCGCGTGTGTGGTACGGCGTGCGAAAGCCCATGCTAATAGATATATATTTATAAACGACATGTGTGCCGAAAAGTGGCAGCAGGGAATTCCAAGGCGACTACGGAGTGCTAAATTGATATATTCGTCTATAATGGGTTTTCTCTCCTGTTTTCGTTGTGCATCAGTGAAACTAGAACTTCTTACTTAGGATGCTTGTGAGCCTTGTTAATGTAAAGGTAATTGCAACAACGAGAGTCCTTGGGAGATGGAGCCTGGAGCAACGACGCAACGTGTGTGTATGGAAAGGCTTGAACCTGAATGCTAACTCGCGGAGCGACATGCAAACGGATAAGTAGCACTGTCCTGTCCCACATGGCATCAACGCGCAGTATCAACGAGCAGTACAACATGGCATGCCCGTGCACCGGGGCTGACCATTATTCCCATCTGGAATTGGACACACACTCCATCTTCTCCATCTTCAAACTTCACCCAACCCAAAGACACAGACCCCTAACACGACAAACAACAAACACAAGGCCGCGAAATGGAGACACACGAACCCATTCAGCGCCCCAAAAGAAGTACTCGAACTTCACTAGTCCAGAACCAGCGGTGTTGGAGCCGGCGGTACACCAACAGATATCAAACAAAGCGAAACCGCTCCGAAATCACGGGAATTCCAATCGCTGGTGACACAACACGATGAAAAAACCAACTACCTGGACGGTGCCTTCCGAGTGCACGCCTTCGCACAACAAACTCCTTCCTATTCGCTCGTCGCAACTGCATGTCCACTTCCCTGCACAATATGCAACTAAGGCGCTACCTCATTGGAGGTCCCATTGCCCACACAAGATATTATGAGGCCCCAGGGGGGGCATGAAATGCTAGGAAAGCGCACCTAGCGGGGCACGCGACCCCGCAATTGCAGCGCCACACTGACCGACCGAGTGCCATGCGAAAGCGCCCACACTACGACTGCACCCGCACTGCCACGACCTGCCAGGAAGGGGGGGTAGATAGGTGCTCGACCCTCCCTCACCCGGCGCAAACAGCTCCGTATTCGAAAGCAGAAACACAAGGTCAACCGCCAACTCCATCAACTGTTGCCACCAAGGTTGGGCCGTCCAGTACGGCACGACTAGGAAAGATACCCTAGCATTGCTTGAGCGCACGTGTTGTCCTCCCTGATTAAGACAACACGCTGCTGAAAGAACGGAAGAAAGGACTCTAATGCATGATGGGCAGCGTGCAACTCCTTCCAACTGATGTGCTCGTAGAGCTCTGGTGCCGACCAATAACCGCGCGCCACACGACCATGCAGGACCGCGCCCCGCGATGCATCCACTGAAAGCTCAACTGCAGCAGGACCCTGGTGAATAGCCGCCGAGCAGTGGTGGGTAGGGACGTCCGCCCACCACCCAAAGTCACGTAACGACCCACGGGGCAAGCACACTCGACCAGGATAACCAACCGGTTGCTTCACATCATCGTAACAATTGCGGAGAAATAAGAGAGCTGGAGTAAGGGCCAATTTGATGCTCTGTGCAAAACTACAAAACTTAGCCAGCTCGCACTTCTGCACCAGACGCTTTGCCGTGATCCGCAACCAAATCGCCAGCCACCACAATTTTGCGAGCTTTTGCTTAGGCACCTCAAACACACCAGCTGCCGTATTGACAGTAATGCCTAAGTGATACACTGACTGCGACGGCTCCCACTGGCATTTGGTGGGATGACATGACAAACCCCAAAACTCGATACTCTCACGCACCCAGCGCGCGCAAAAACATGCTTGCTCCTCGGACGTAAACATGATTAGGAAATCATCCAAATACGGTAGTACTCGCGCACCCGGACGTGAAGGACGCTCTGTCTGGGAAACGGGAAAAAACTGGTGGGGCGAGATCGGGGGCGAGGGGCACTTGCGACCCTTGCCCACCACAGCCAAAGGACCCCGCCAAATATTCATCACATTGCGCATGAACTGCTGAAGAGACGGTGTCCCTCTGGGACCTAGCAGACACGGCTAAGAGTAATTGGCCGTTACACGTAGTCGGCAGGTCCGCGACCTGCCACTGATAGCCCCTTGGTTGGGTGTAAACGTATTGAGTCTGAGGTGCTGTTACCGGCACACAGCAGGGGCTTTAAGGCCTGGGTAGCCTGTCCTGACGGGCGGCCTGTCAGTATTCTAGCACCTTGACAGCCGCCAGTCATAACAGCCTGACGTGGGGCGACACGGCACACCCCCTTCACACCAACATGCCCCCTCGAGTCGCACCAGGGGCCTGACTGCAAACTGCCAGTACTGACGAGCCCGCTCGGCCGCCAAGTCCGCGGTCCAGGCCGGCTGCTCAATACTCAGCAGACACAAACGCAGCTTGCCAGTCTTCAGCCCATTTGCTTTGCGGTCTGGTGCCGCAGTCCAAACACACACGGAAAACAGCACTGCACAGCACCTTATGCCCTGCCTACGGCGCCCTTCGGGCATTAACCTGCCCATCCGGGCGCCTGCCCACGTGCCCTTGGTGCCCTCCTAGCTCGACACACTTCCTCTAAGCCCTCAGCATTTTTTCCACTCCCCCCTCGCACGGTGCTCCGGCGATCTAAGTGACGCCCAGCACCGTGCGGCAGTGCACGAACTGGATGATTTCGCCCCAGTGTCTTGGTGAGAATGTCAGCCACCGTGTTGGTGGTGGTGCAATAGCTGAGCTTAACCTCACCGTGCACGGCTGTTTCACGCATGATGTGGTGGTGCACATCGATATGCTTGGAGCACACCAACGTGATGGGGTTGTCGCCGAGGCTGAGCATGCCTTGTGAATCCAGCTGGATGTTGACGGCGCCAGGTGACAGGTCCAGGTCGCCCGCCAGCTTGCGCAGCCACATAGTGCCTCGCGCATGGCTGCCGCGGCGGCCTGGTACTCGGCCTCCACGGACGAGGCAGCCACGGTGCGCTGCAACTGGCTGCTCCAGCTGACCGCCGTGCTGCCGAGCAAGAATGTGTAGCCCGTGGTGGACCGGCGGGTGGCTGGATCACCGGCCCAGTCCGCATCACTGTACCCGCCGAAGTTGCTGGTGTTGCTGCAGCTGTCGCCACGGTACCGCAGCCCGAGTGTGCAGGTGCCGGATAGGTAGCGCATCATGCCCAGCTCGAGACCCATGTGGGCCTTGGTGGGGGCGGGCATGTGTCACACGAGCATGCTCAGAGTGTGTGTGATGTCCGGGTGTGTGCTGGTGGCGAGGTAGTTCAGCTCGCCCACCAGCTGCCATCAATCACTGTCAGCTGTCGGTGTCGCTGGCTGGCAGAGCCCGCGTGCCCTGAGGCAGCAACGGTGGCTGCGCGCGGCTTGGCGTTCTCCAGGCTGTGGCGCTGCAACAGCTGCTCCACATAGCACCGCTGTGTGAGCACGATGCAGCGGTTGCGGCCATCCTGGACGATCTCCATGCCGAGGTAGTAGTGCGCCTCGCCAAGGTCACGCACTGTGAAGCAACCGGCGATGGCTGCCTTGGCGGCTGCGACCACTTGCAGGTTGTCCGCCATCACCAGCATGTCGTTGGCAGTGTGCACCGCGCTGTTGCCTCCACCGCCGCCACTGCCTGGGGCATGTTAGACTTAGCGCTGTCAGCACTACCACCCGAGCAGCGGTGGACTTCCCGACTCTCCACAGCCGCCGCTGCTGCTGCTGTAGGGGGAGCAGGCCGTAATTGACCGGGGCCAGCGGCGTGTGCAGGGACTGCCGTTGACTGCGGGTGTTGGGGTGGAGGGGTGGTGTTGGGGTCACCGGAGGTGGGGCGGTCGCTGGGGTCGGCCGCTTGGTGGGCAGTGTAGAGCCGCCGATGGGGTCGCTGCTGCCGGGGCGGGTGGGGCTAGTGTCGAAGGGGGTGCCCGCCCGTTGGAATCGGGCCGCGGTGGTCGACGAGGACGTGGTGGGCGGCCATGCCGTGCTCCGGTCGGCGGTAGGTTCCCGCCTTTGCGCGAGGACCGAGTTTGTCCTGCTGGCTGGCTGGGAGGCGGACGTAGGCCAGGCAGCCGAAGGTGTGGAGGTTGCTGACGTCGGGGGGGATGCTGTGATAAGCTGCCCACGGTGTGGCCTCCCGGCCCTGAGAGGGGGCCACATTGCGCAGGAGGTTGGTGTAGAGCACAGCCTCCGGCCAGTAGCTGCCTGGGAGTGCTGCGTCATGCAGCATCACCCGCACATGGTCGACGAGCATGTGGTTGAGTCGCTCCACAGCTCCGTTCTGCTCCGGGGTGTACGGCGCCGAGTGGGTGTGTGCGGTGCCGTGCTGGTGCAGCCACTGCCCCAGTTGCTCGGCGACGTACTCACCGCCGTTGTCGCTGTGCAGCATGTGCACCCATGCATGGTTCAGGTGGCGGGCCTCCAGCTGCGTCACCATGTCCTGCAGCACTTCACCCACTTGGCTCTTGCTGGCCAGAGTGTGTACGGCGGACAAACCGGTAGCACCGTCCAGCAGTGTCAGCAGGTAGCATCCGCCCCCTCGGCCCATGGCCGGCATGGGCCCGCACAGGTCAGAGTGTACAACCTCCAGTGCGTGCTGCGGCCGGTTGCTGCGGCTGGGATGGGCGGTTACGGTGGCCTTAGCGGTGACACAGGCCTCGCAGACGGCCTCCACCGCCTGGTGCAGTACCGCTGGAGTTACCTGTGGTCCCTGCACCAGGTGCTTGCTGATCAGCTGCTCCAGCACGCGGTAACCAAGGTGACAGTAATGGCGGTGCTGCCGGTGTGCTGCCGCGAGTTCGGCGACTGAGCATTCAGCGGCCCGGGGCTGCCGTTGCCTGGTTGCCCTTTGCCGTTGCTGTCACCGTCCCGCTGGCCTCCACCGGTGTGGCTGCCGGCGGTGCTGCCGCCACGGGCACTGGGGACGGCGGCGGCACTTCCGCCAGCACTGCTACCTGCGGCCTGGCCCCCACCAGCTCTGTCGCCCATGGTGCCGAGGGCATTGACGGTGATGTCGGTCGGCGCCTGCAGGTCCACATCCATGCGTAGTGCCCACACTCATTCCATGCGGTGATAGACGGGCTGTTGCGAGGGAGGCCGATGCATGAGAACCAGCAGCCCGTCTTGTTCGTGCTGAATGTGACTGAGCAGCTGCGTGTCACGAAAAGGCTGACAGATGTTAGGGTGAGGCCCTAGCTGGGGACGTGCAGCACGTTGTGCAGCCGGACATTGTCTATCGCGTGTACGCAGATGCAGCTTCCCTGTTCCCATGACATCGGCCGGCTGGTTGTTGCCCCACTCGGTCAGCCATGGCGTGCCCGCGACGACATGGTTGTGCAGGAGCGGTCACCGGTGAGGTGGTATGGTGAGCCTGAGTCGAGGATGACTCGTGAGCTGCTGCCACTGCCGTCAATGACCAGCACTGTGGCACGGCTCTGGCGTGAGCTGCATCCGCTGCTGCCCGAGCCGTTGTTGCGGCGTACGACGGCTCCTGATGTGATTTATGCCCTTTCAGCCTCCCAGGCATGTCCCCACCTGCCTCACAGCCACCGACGCATCTCACGGCGGGGTTCTAATTGCGTGCGCGTTCGGATGCCGCGTTCCTCGCTGCCTTTCTGGCAACTAGTTGATGGTATGATGCATTGTTGGTCCGGCGCACGGCGGCGCCTGATGCGATCTCTGTTTGCGGAAGGCCCCCCTGCGTGCGTGCAAGCATGTTATTCTTTTTGGGCGAGGCCCCGGGCGCGAAGCACCATTCGGGGGCCCGAGCCCCCCGGGTTCACTGCAGTCAGTCAGTCAGTCAGTCAGTCAGTCAGTCAGTCAGTCAGTCAGTCAGTCAGTCAGTCAGTCAGTCAGTCAGTCAGTCAGTCAGTCAGTCAGTCAGTCAGTCAGTCAGTCAGTCAGTCAGTCAGTCAGTCAGTCAGTCAGTCAGTCAGTCAGTCAGTCAGTCAGTCAGTCAGTCAGTCAGTCAGTCAGTCAGTCAGTCAGTCAGTCAGTCAGTCAGTCAGTGAGTCAGTCAGTCAGTCAGTCAGTCAGTCAGTCAGTCAGTCAGTCAGTGAGTCAGTCAGTCAGTCAGTCAGTCAGTCAGTCAGTCAGTCAGTCAGTCAGTCAGTCAGTCAGTCAGTCAGTCAGTCAGTCAGTCAGTCAGTCAGTCAGTCAGTCAGTCAGTCAGTCAGTCAGTCAGTCAGTCAGTCAGTCAGTCAGTCAGTCAGTCAGTCAGTCAGTCAGTCAGTCAGTCAGTCAGTCAGTCAGTCAGTCAGTCAGTCAGTCAGTCAGTCAGTCAGTCAGTCAGTCAGTCAGTCAGTCAGTCAGTCAGTCAGTCAGTCAGTCAGTCAGTCAGTCAGTCAGTCAGTCAGTCAGTCAGTCAGTCAGTCAGTCAGTCAGTCAGTCAGTCAGTCAGTCAGTCAGTCAGTCAGTCAGTCAGTCAGTCAGTCAGTCAGTCAGTCAGTCAGTCAGTCAGTCAGTCAGTCAGTCAGTCAGTCAGTCAGTCAGTCAGTCAGTCAGTCAGTCAGTCAGTCAGTCAGTCAGTCAGTCAGTCAGTCAGTCAGTCAGTCAGTCAGTCAGTCAGTCAGTCAGTGGCTTACATATACCGCCCCGCAAAAAATAGCGTTTGAATGCTATATCCATTCTATATCGAAATGCCAAAGGAGACATTTCAGATAAATCGGAGCGCGACAAAGATAGCTTTCCATGGCTCCGAGTTTGGCGGCTGCTGACCAGCCGATCCGCTGCGGCCGCGGCCCGGCCCCCCAGCAGAGGGCACGGAGGAGGGCGGGGCCGCCCAGGTCGGGCCGTTGTGCAGGCGGAGGTGCCAGCCCCCACAGCGGGCCATGTCGGCAGGCCCCATATACACATATACACAGCCCCCATACTTCTTGCATTGTCGATAGTATACCATCTCAAAGCTATTCACAGCAACAAGTGTGTACTCCAAACATAACGGCGTTCTTGTGCTTGCATTCCTATGCCGTACGGACTGCCCTGCGAATCAAACAGGGAGCAAGTGGCTGCA